TTGATTTTTCCGTACATTTCTGCCATATGTACATTAACTGACAGTCACCACTGATAAGCTACCACTAAATATTGTAGAAACTTAATTTCCTGTTAAGTTGCTTTGCAACGATTTGTATCGTGAAAATAAATACAAATAAACTTGAAATGAATTGAATTGAATGTTTAAAAAGAGGTGAAAACAATACTGTACATGGAATGCAAAAAATAAATAAAATAATAATAATAATTTTAAATAATAGTAAATAAATAAATTTGTACATTGCAATGTTATTTTAGTATCATTGAGAGGCTATACTAGTTTTAGTAACATTTTGAATCGATTTTCTATTTTAATTTTAATTTTAGTTAAAGTGATAGTAATTTTGTTGTTTTTTGTCTATATAGTTTTTAATATTCAGTTTTAGTTATTTTAGTAGAGTAAGTTGAACCAAATTAAAATGAGAAGTGTTGCCTTAGCATCTAACTGAAACAGGTTTGTTATATTTTATTTTATTTCCATTGTTAGCGTTTATTTTATCTCAAGTAACTTTTTTTATGGTTTTAATATTAGTTTTAGTTAGCTATAATTACCCTGCTAAACTGGCATGACTTTCTCTTGAGATTTTGCTCGTTAAACACTGATGTTAAGGGTTGTGCCGCTGATTTATTCCCTGATGTATTGAGAGTTGTGGGAATCCGTGGACTAATACATGCTGTCTGTATCTCAAGTGGGATTCTTGCGTCTAAATGTGTAAATATTGACGTAATGACAGATGCGTTTGCCTCGGAGCTGTTATTCTGATAATGTAGCTTACAGACTGGCATCGTTAATGGAGTCTTTGTTTAGTCTTTTTATATTTTCATAATCAGTCCTTGACTCACTCAGCAGAACCTGGAACAATGAATGCTGTTTATTTTCCAGCGAGTAATTGGTGTGAGGAAAGTGGGTCATGTGTCGTCCTGTGTGTGTGTGTTTGTGGCAGGTTTCGGCTAACATCGCTCTGGAGGCGCTGGCGCTCCGGCCTGACGCTCTCATGGGTTTATTGTGTACGGTGATGCAGCGGGCTCCTCTGCTGCCCCCGGTGGCCAATGCGGGTCACAGCAGCGCCGCATCCGAGCACAACACCCTCCTCAACTTCACATGCCACACGGTTAACATCTCCGGGTCACCCATGGGTCAGATAAACCAGGTGAGGCTCGTCACAAACCGTCCGATGTGTCCAAAAACCATTCCACCACATATTCTCAGCTTTTTACTTGGATTAAAATAATTCATGTTTTATGCATTTACTGTCTTTCTTTTAAATCATCTAATTATGTTCCTAAATGCTTTAATGAGTATAATATGTTATTTAAATGTTGTAATTTTACCATTTTACAACTATGTATTTTTAGGTTAAATATTAATTTTTAATGTTTTATAATTGTTATAAAATAAAATGTATTATTTTTATATATTTTGATATTTTATATTCTGTCTTTTTTATATTTTATTTAAATCATGCAATTTTTTTTTTCATTTTAGAATTATAAATGTTTGGAATTGTAAATGTTAATTTAAAATAAATAATGAAATATTGTCGTTTTTTTAGAATGTTAAAATATTTTACAATTTATATATATTTTTATAAACTTTTTTTTTTTTTTTTAAGTTTTCCATTTGAAAATTATAAATGTTTTCGATTTTAAATATTCATTATTAAATATTTCATTATTAAAAAAAATATATATAATTGTGAAATATTTTATAGTTTTTAATGTATTTTTTATATTCTATAATTTTTTAACATTTTATTCAAATGTCAGAAGCAGGTGGAATTTATAACAGAGGGGAGGGGACATACTTTGGACAAAACTGTTTTCCCAAATGAGAAAGATTGTACATTTATATTTATATTCTATATATTATATTTATTGTTTTTATAATTGCATATTATTGTGTGACACTCTTTGAACACATGAGTATCACACAGTATTTCTGAGAGTGATGCCGGCGTCTGTGGTGTCCGGATGGATAGAAACAGACAGGATTTCTGTGTTTTTCATAGCTTTCTCTTGACTTATTGCCACAAAAACTAAAACAGGAGTGTGGTTTTGATGGGCTGAAGCTCCTGAAGGTGTTAATGACATCTGCGGCTCTGTCTGGACGTCCAGCTGTGAGTTCAGGAGATCAGACTTCAGTCCACAATCACACTGAGACTCACAGCTGACCCGACTGACTGAAGCACTGCTGCACAGATGTGTTAAATACTAAAATTATTAGTGTGAGTGTGAGCGTGTGAGCGTGTGAGCGTGTGTGTGTGTGTGTGCGTGAGTGCGAGAGCGAGTGAGTGTGAGTGTGTCTGTGTCTGTTTAGGCAGCTCATCTGCAGAGCTGCATTAAAGATGTATTCCTCTCACTAACCTGAAGAGCAAACAGAGAAACGCCTCTGAATGCCGAAACACTGGAAGCGTTTCATCTCCACTGCGCTAGAGAGAGAGACAGAGACGCACAGGAGAGATCTGAGTCTGTGAAATACACAGCTACATTATCACACTGAATAAAAGCAGAGTTACAGACACAGAGAGGTCTGAGAAACCAAGCCATCAACGATATCTGACCGCTCTGAGTTTGACTCTATAATCATCACACGGCCCTGCATCATATCTGATGAATGAAATCCAACAGTTTCTGACTCGTTTTGAGCTGCTGGTTTCAAAAATAGTGGTTGTTTTACTCTCTCATGTCACACTTTCTCACTCAAAATGATGCATTTTGTAGCATTTTGCTTTTGAGAGAAGTCTTGAATTCTCCATTAATCAGCAGAAAATCAGCCAGATCACAACTATTTTATCCATTCTCAGCTCAGATCACATTATTTGATGCATAATCCTGAATTACAGCCAGAGACAGAAGAAAATACAAACATGACTCGAGCCTGATGTTTTCTGCTTTCACTGCATGCAAACACACACATTGCAGATTTTGTGAGAAAAGCTTATTTATTTAGTTCTCTGACATCAAATTGAGTATTTTAACATTTTTAACTCATTTGCAGATTGCGAGTTAAATTATACATTTAGATTTTTTGTTGTTGTTGCTAAGCAGTTGATAGGGTGTTCTGGGTGGTTACCAAGGTGTTTTGGGTGCCAGGGTGTTGCTAAGCAGGTGTTTTAAGTTGTTTCCAGGACGTTGCTACATCTGTGGGTGTTTTACTGCATACAAACTGTGACAGAAAATGACAGATTTGGGGGGAAAACAACCTGTTTATTTATTTTGTAAGGTTATTTGACATTAAATGGAGTATTTGAACATATTGTAATTTATTATTATTATTTTTCTTTTTTTTTTTTTGTAGATCTTTTAGGTGTTGTAGGATGTCTTTTTTGTTTGACATTTGACTGCTTTTGTTATTTTAAAAAGTGCATTAAAGCATGCATATATATATATATATATATATATATTCTTATTTTGTGAAAAAACTATGATGGAAAGTTTTTACTGATATTTTTGAACTCAGCATCATCAAATCAGATAATATTAGGCCTTTTTTGCAAATCAGAATAATTTTTTCTAAAAGGCCGGTCTGCGTCATCCGTAATTTTGACTTGTCATGGTCTGTTGGTTTTAATTTTCACTGATAATTATATAGCCGAACGCCCGTCCATTTGTGTATGCAAATGTGATATAGTCTTCATATTGCTGATATTGTTATTTCCATATCCAGAGAAGTTTGACCTGAGTATTTCAGCTGAAGTAACCCAGCACTCACAGTTAGTTTTCTGTGACGTTCAGGCTTTGGTTTGCCGTGTGTCTGTGTCACTGTCAGTGTTGCAGGAGTGAAGCGTGATTCGGCGAGCATTCCTGTGTCACGCTTGTGGATGTTCTCAGACGTGTCAGTGCCGTCATTAGAGACACTCTAAACTGACATGTAAGGTATGCTTTTAATGTCTCGGGTGTAATATTTCTGTTTCAAACAAGAATATTGAAGTTTAGCATCAGTGCAGTAAACTGATAAAAAATGATATGATCAATAAATCATGGCAACATGTGTTTTACATTATACAGTAAAGTCACAAGTTTTTTTTCAATTCTATTTTTATTAAATTTTGTCAAAAAATCCAAAGAAACAATACCACATACAAAACAATACAGTAACATTGTGTGTGTGTGTGTGTGAGTGTGTGTGCGTGTGTGTGTGTGTG